AAAGTTCCCTGGTAACGATTATCTCAGCCTCGTGTGCAGAATGAAGATTAAGGCATAACTCCATAGAAGGTCTCTTGCAACGGACACATGACCCCTCCCATGAATGTGGGTTCCATATCTTAGAGCCCTAGGATCTGACATGGCTTCAGTCATGCAGAGAGTACAGAGGTCACCGGGTTGTAACGTACATGGGACATCTCCCTGAAGGATAGGCTCCGTTGACTGGGAAGCCAAACTAACAATGAAGGCCTAGGGAGGGAGGGTCTGGGAAAACCCTATTAATCTGGGAGATCCAGGTGTGACCTGGCCCTGTAGACAGCACAGATCACCAAGCCGTAAACAACATCCACTCCCAACCTTCTAGTTGGCAGACAGATGTACTCATCTGTTCTGTTGAAGAGTCAAGCCTGTGTGCTTAACATTCCTGGTGCCCACAGCGCTCCCTGCGAGCACAGAGACCCCGATGCCCTCATACAGACGGCATGCCACTTTGTGCGAGTACATTGGGGAATCTCTGCATTTGCCTCCTGTGTGTGTTCCTTGGGTCTTTCCAGGATGCCTGGGTCCCTGAGTTGCTTCTGACAGTGGGTAGGGATTTCACCTGAGTGTGCAGCACGATTCAAGCAGTAAGTGCCCAGACATGGCTCCGGTGACTGCATTGGCCATCAGTGGGTTGGTGTTTGTGATTAGACACCAGTATTGGGCCACTGGGTCTGGGGGCTAGCCCAAGCTTGGCCTATCCTGGGGACAAGAATTCAGCAGAAAGGGCCGAGATTGAGGCCTACGGGGTTGCGGAGAGCTCTGCGTCCTGCCAGAAAAGGAAAGGGACGGGGGACAGAATATGATTGGATGTGGTGATATATATCGGTGTCCCCCTCCTGCGCCTCTTTGCTCCAGCACAGCAAGTGCCAGGACACATGGCCAAAGCCTGTGGAGCCCTGGTCCATGTTTCCATTGCTGTCATGAAATTCTTCTCGGTGTCTTTACTGTGCACGCCAACATTTCAGGAGTCCTGCCCAGCCCAGCCCAGCAAGGCCCCAAGCCATGTCAACCAAGGAAGAGAAAGACATGGAGAGGAGTGCCAAGCGCCCAAGGGTTGATCCAAATCTCCCATCAGATGACTCCCAGAACCCAGATGCCATCATGCCCGGTAACAACTGATATGGGGCATATGTGGCTGTGCCTAACCAAGGGGATATTCTACTACTCCTTGACAGGTGGAGCACAGGGCTGGCCTGGTACTAACCAGGTCATCCTATGGGGCTCCAGGGGTAGGGTGTGGCGGGGGGGATTCAGGTGCTGAGATCTGATTCTCAAGCATGTTCTGGGTTTCTGTCCCCAACTGATGTTCTCACCCCATGGCGGAAGTACAAGGCTCACAGGGCCATTGGTCCTGGCCAGCATGCCTCTGAAGAAGTCCATGGGTCACGGTGAACTTCCTTGAAAGTCTTGCACAAATACATGTACCTGCTATCCCCAGACACTGGCTGAGCTGAATTTCACCTGAGTGGGGGGTAGGGGGTGGGGGATGGGAGGTGGGGGATGGGGTGGAGGGTGGGCATTGGTTCCTGGAAGACTACTTTGACACTGTTGTTGCAACAGGCACGGGCTCAGCCAACCCAGAGTGGAGCTGTTTCCCGTGGCACCCGTGTGGGGTGATTGTTCATTCACAAAGGTGTTCCCTTTCTTCTCAATGCAGCAAAGAATCCAGCAGTTGATACCAGTGAGGTGGGCAGCTGTTACTCAGGATCAGATGTGCAAGAGGCGAGGTGATGTCTTAAAGGAAATTTGACCTGCCCCAGGAGGTGGTGTCAGTGTGGTTTTATGCAGGCATACAAAGAAAATTATGTCCTTGGCTGGAAGATGGATCCAAACAGAGAGTTTGGTGTTAAGTGAAAGCAGCCAGCACCTAAGAGACTACAGTCACCTGTTTTCCCTCTGAGGATCCTAGATTATAAAGCAGGTCCATACAAGGAGAAAACCCAAGCCCAGAAGGGAGACTGGGGAGAGGTGGGCAAAGGCTTGGGGAGCAGACGCTGACTCTGGAGGTTGAATATGGTCACGTGGTATGGAAGTTGAAGAGAGGCTTGTCTGGGTGATAGAGCAGGCCTAGCAGGAGGGCACTGAGGAAGGATGAGAATGAATATGGCTGATGGCTGGAGTGCACGACACATGGGTGAGTACGCCTTTATGAACCCCATCGCTGCCGTACAGTGAATGGATTCTGGTAAGCATTTAGTACAAAACCCCTATACTGCCACAACATAACAGGAAGTCACTGCCTGAGGAGTGGAGACACTTTTCATGGAGCTTTTATCTGCCTGAAGTTGGGCAGGGAATGCCGGGGAGGCAGTTGTCACAGTCATCCAACACCCAGCCTGAGGTTGGTTTCCTGGGGATACAGGTGACTATGAATCACCCATGCTCCAGCAAGCAGCCCTTGCCCATGTGCCCGTATGAACCTGCAGCGAACTCAGTTGGTTCACCATGAATACATGAAGGAAGGAATTAAAAACAGTGACCCAAAGAGGGGAACATCCGGCTTTCCCCCACATAAGTGCTAGTCTCTGCAAAACCACATGCCTCACCTTTCTTTCAAAGCAAACTTTGGATGTTTGTCTCCACTTAAGTATTCTTGTGTGCGTTTTCCACAGGGAGCCTGTTCAGAAGAGGACACAGGATTTCAAAGGTGTGTTTGAGCAGATGTTGCTATCCCAGAGCTCTCTCTCCGAGCCCACAACTTACTCGTGGTGAGAGAACCTGGGCACCAGCCAACAGGACTCTCTGTTAGAGTTCCATGGCACAGAGGGTTTTGTTTTCGTTTTCCTTTTTGCTCTTGTTTTTTGTGGAAGGGTATATTGCCATTTGTCCTCCTGGGGTGTGAGGGTGTGGGGGTGGCGGTGGTGGGTACCACTAGCTTGACCTTAGCTAGCTGCTCTGAACAGGGTGCTGGGGTAGCTTTCACTGAGTCAGTGGGGAGTGTTTCCTGCTTCCTGCATTGATTGCTGAAGAGTGTTACTAGAGATGATGGCAAGCACATAAATCTCTGCTTTTTATCTTACTGCACCAGTGGTATGTCACATTTCAACAACTGTTTTTCACATTCTGAATCAAGTCATTTTTCTGGGTTTCTGAAGTCGCTCTCCTCCAGGAAGCCCTGCCAAAGAGGGCATGGAATACAGCCTGAGGGCCAAATGTGAATCTCTGAGCCTGTCAGGGAATGTCAAAGGCAGCCACGCTGTGGCCGTGGAACAAAAGTGTGTGTGTGTGTGTGATAGCATGCAAACATCATGCATGCCACACGAGCTCGCTCTCTGTCTTCAACGGTAACCAAGTCAGTGTAACCACACTCCACCCTCCAAGCTGAGGCAGCTTTTATTCACTTGTGTAGGCGGTCCTCAAAGAGCATTACTAGAGAGGCATCGTCAATTCTTAGGCAGCGTATAGAGTCAATTCATACAAGCCAGGGTGTCTGACTTCTGACAGCATTGCGCTTCCTGATACAGAGGAGCTGCTGCTTAGGCTCTCAGGTATCCAGAAAATGGTTTGTCAGTGGCGGTCACTCGTCAAAGCACGATGCCCCCATGCCTGTATGCCTAGCACTTAGGAAGTGGAGGGAGGAGAATCGGGAACTGGAGGTCACCCTCACTTGCCTCTCAGGTTTGAGACCAGCCTGGGCTACTCGTGACCTGGTCTATAATTAAAAAAAAATACAGCGAAGAGCAAAATGGACAGAGGATCTATAGATACTCTTACTGCTCTGTAGGAGATGTGTCAGGGATGAAAACGTGCCTCTTCCTCCGGATAATTGGTTAACGTGATACCATTTCCTTTCTCGTATAAGGTAGCATTATCCAGTCCCTTCTGGCAAAGAGGAAGCAGTTTGAAAAGGACATAAATGCCTCTTTCCGAAGCCTGAACAAAAACCTGCAGAGTATTTTCAGAACCCAACAGAAGTCAAGGTAGAGTTCCGACCCTCTGTAAAATTAGACCCGTACAACTTTTCCTCTTCCTTGCACAGTCACTCCTGCCTGCCATGGTGACCCTGCACAGAGTGGAATTGCTAATGGGACCTATGTAGCAATGTATTGTCTCTGTGAGCTAGCCATGCTCATAGCTGGCAGCATCCCCCTTTTACATAGCTGAGATGTGTTAGCTGCCAGGTGGGCAAGAGAACAATCTCTCCCCTATCAAGTAGCAAGGCAGATAACTTTCTGTAGGGAAGGACAGTCTTCTAGGGTCTAGAAAACGGTACCTATTAGGAGATACCACCCCTGCTCCTTTTGGTAAATTGTTGTGCCCGTGTGGGGAAAGGATCCTATGCGTTCTTCTTGTCTGTAAGTGACATAGGATGAAGGGTATGTTGCCTTCACAATATGGGCTTTGACTCTCAGAATCTATAGGTTACTCCATTAGGGAAGCGAAGATGAGTCTAGTTTTAAGTCAGAAATGCAATCTTGGGAATGGTGTGCATCAGAGCATCCTAGGTGTTTGAGAGGGAAGACACGTGAAATGACATCACTGGTAGCTAATTAAAGCAAAATTCTTCAGGGTTGGGATCACATTTCTCCTGCCTCTCAAGAGTCGCTTAAATCCCCTTTCTCTTTTGCTCCTGGCTCTTGTTTCAAAAGGATGAGTGTGTGTGTTATTGCCTTGGCCTCACGCGGTGTGACAAAGCTCAGGAATTGATACTGTGTTTTACAGGCAGGAACTTCACTCCATGCACTCACAGATATTTGAGTCCCTGTATCACAAGTGGCTGGACGAGGTGGGGAGAGCAAGGGAGCAAGAAGACCACCTCAACGTGAGTGTTGCTCTTGGCTTGGAATAGATCCGCTGTGCCCCTTCCCAAAGTGGCAGGGCTTCAGTGCAGCAGGTCTCGAGGGACAGGACAGGACAGGACAGGAGCATGAGGGAGACGAGGAGGGTGGTGGATGTGGCCTGGAGGGGCTGGCCGTCCTCTCTGGCTTGCTTCTTTTTCTGTGAGGGGAGGTGTGTTCATGGGTTAGGAGCCAGCATAGGAGTGAGGCTGAGTGGACACTGCCTGAAGAGTGCAGGAGAAGGTATGGGCTTGTATGCTCAGAGGGAGCCCTTTGTGATCCACACAGTGCAGCTGCAAAACAGTACAGGACAGACGGGGTGGAAGTGGGGTGGGGTCCCGGGTAGCCTTCTGACACAGTGGTCAGGGAGGCAGAGGGAGAGCAGTCAGTGTGGCTGTGCCGGAGCAGGTGGAGGCTTGGCGTTCGTGGACGCCGAGCAGCGCTGTCTTTGAGGGATCTTTCATCCTGATGGAGGACAGAACCATACTGCCAAAGGCCCTGCCTTCCAAAGGTGGGGAAGCAGCGCCTGGGATCAGGGGGGACATGGAGGCAGCTTTCAGTCTGGCGGCCAGGAGCATGTCCTCTGAACGCCACTGATGGGGATGCAGCCACAGTCCTGACACCTGTGAAAGCCCGGGGGCATAATTAACCTCCCTGCCTCAGTTTCCTAGGAGTCAAAGCAGACCTGTGAAGAATCCATACCTTTCTAGATTTTGTGTATTGAGTGGTTTCATTTTTTACATGTTGCTATGGAATGTTTGACCTCGTGAGCTGATGTGTGTTTGCCATTTGTCTTCGAGGCCCTTCTTATTTGGGTGGTAATGTAGTTGATGGAATGTCTCAATCTGGGGAATGACTGATTGGTGAGGATGATTAGGTCAAACCTCTTTCTATTCTTCCTTTTTGGAAAGAAGGGCTTCCTTGGAAGCTAATGTGTCCTCATCATATTAAAAAATATGTTATGGCCAGGCAGTGGTGGCACACGCCTTGAATCCCAGCACTCGGGAGACAGAGACAGGCGGGTCTTTGTGAGTTCGAGGCCGGCTGGTCCGACAGCCTCCAAAACAATACAGAGAAACCCTGTCTCGTAAAACCAAATAAATAAATAAAAATATTTTATGTAAACAAAGGAATTCTTTGTACTTAATTTTGGTAAGGTGAGGAGCCACAGATTATTAGGTGGGTCTTATTGACAATTTCAAAATAATTATTTCATAGGATTTTTGCACAGGCCTGACAAGACTATCGCAATCTGTGACTGGTCAGACCATGGTACGTTGCTTTTGGCATTGAAGGCCATTTCTTCAATCTTGTTCATCACGAGTGTCACAACACAAAGCGTCAAGGGATCAGTTCCTGTAAGCAGGGCTGGATGTTCATTTTTACTGACATTTTTTCATTGATTTCCTCTATTTCAGCGTATAGCTCAGCAACAGATGAAGATCTTACAGAAAGCTATAGAGGATCATGAAACCAAGATTGAAAACGCTAAAGATCTATGCAATGCATTTTTGAAGGTCTGGTAGAGTGCACTCGTTGACAGAACACACCCTCATGTCACACCATGTGTCTATAAAAGCAGAAGACAGATTGGCCCTTTCTCAGTTTGTGGGAGAAGCAATTAGTTTTGAAAACTGTGATCACACTCTCCTTGGAATATTTTCCCACACATAGGAGAAATGCTATGGTTTGTTTAGCTTGGGAAGCTGATGACAGGGTTGGGGACAGTGTTCTAGCACGGAAGCCGATGACTGGAAATCTGCTTAGAAAGGAGCACACTGCATCGCAGTGATGAGTTATTGACCTCTATCTGATTTCAATGGAAATCACCAAGTCTGGGATACTTCTGGTGTTCTTTGACTTGTTTTGATTGGACAGGCCAGCGAAATAAGTAAAAGGACAAGGGCACTTTTAATTTTCTTTCAGGTTCAGTGTTTTTGCAGACTTCTGACATTAGCATTGTACTTGATTATTTATTGGTGGCCATGCATTTCAGCAGCTCCCCTGCTGATGTAGGGAATGAAAAAGCTGGTAGAGGATTAACCCTCTTTGAATTGAGGGCTTGGATCTGGCAATTGTACTGTTACTGAAGCTCCTGGTGCTAAGTGACACCTACATACCCAGGAGTTGAAGCAGCCCTTCAATGGGAATTCTTTTTGATGCTCATTAAAATAGATTATGAAATATCTCTCCTCAGATCTGATTCAGATGCCTTAACTAAAGTGCTCAGTGTGTCATAGTAAACTAAGTGTTTTCAGGGTGCCGGCGAGAAGCTAGGTCTGTTTTTGCTGAGCAAGCATGAGTTCACCAGATAGTACCCTAGCGAATATCCCTAGCAGCCATGTGTAGTCCAGGCATGGCGCCATTCCCCTATGGCCCCAGAGAAGTGAGGCTAGAGACATAAAGGATCCCTGGGGCTTGTGGGACCACCATTCCAGCCAAATTGGAAAACTCTGTGTTTAGTGAGACACACTGCCTCAAAAAGTAATGTGGTGAGCGGTTCAGGACGGTACACGGACACCCTAGCACACATGTAGGTATGCCAACACGTACACGTGAAGGACATGACCTTGAGTTATTTTAATGACCTCTGGTCTCCACACTCAAGCACACATCCATGCACACCCTCCTGCACACAGCCATGCACACAGAAAAGTAAAACTGAATTTTCAAGACCCCGGGAGCCCTCTGCATACATCCAGTCCTTTAGGAAGAGCTTAAGAAAAGGGGACATGCAGCTTGAATGCAGATAAATACTGCTTGGGAGCTGGTTGAAAGAACCGACCAGAAAGGCTTGCTTCCGACTGAGTGCTCAGTGTGAGCAGCACCACAGAAGGAGCCTTGTGCCTGGACCTCTCTGGCTTCCCAGATGATCCCTGCCCTTCTGCCCTGTGCCCTTCTGCCTCTCCCACTCTCTAGATCGCCCTCTGCCTCTCCATCCCAGGCTTCCCTCCTTTCCTAGTCCTGGGCTCTGCCTCTGAGGGACTGGTGTCCTCAAACATGGAGTTTCCCTCTTCCAGATTTCCCGGTGGCCTTCCTTCTCAATTCTCTCTGTTCCCTGTGTCCTCTGAGCAACTGCCGCTCCCATCCCCCCTCTACACACACACACACACACACACACACTCTCCCTCTTGGAGGCTTCACCAGCTGCTTGCTTCCCTCCTCCCAGTGCACCAGCTTCCCATGAAGCGACTCCCATTCCTTGTTCATGCTCTGCTTCTGTTCTTTGCCCAGAACGCTTCCCGTGTCTTGCCTTCCCCAAGGAGACCCTATGTTTTTACTGCTTGGCTTCACCATTTGTGTCCTTTTCAGCCGAGAGTGCTCAGCACGTTCCCCTTCCATACTCATTTCCAGCTGGTATGCATGTTGTCGGTTCCTAAGATGTTCTGGGCCCTGGGAATGGGGCAGAGACCTGACAGGCGTTTTGCAATGTTTGGACAGAGGGCGACACAGTTTCTTTCTCCTCTGTATCCACCAATGCTGGGTTCTTTGAGGGATCATAGGGGTTTGAATCCTCACTGAAGCTTTTCTTAGATTGAAGGGTTGGGTTGTGGGATTGCATACTGTGTCTTCCTCTATGAAAATCACATTCCACGGACATGTGGAATGGCTCCTCCCTCTGAGATACCTTGGTGGCAGGGGTGGGGGAGTGGGGAGTTGGGGGGTAGGGCCTGTCTCCAACGGGGGCCTGTGCCTCGTTCTCCATGTGTGCTCCCTGTGACCTTTTAACTGATCCTCTACCCATTTTCTGAGATGAGTGCCTTAACTGTTCTGTCCCACAATGATTCTGCCTTAAAATGTGCCCCTGGAACTTTTTGTGGGGTTGCCATTTAGGATTGCACAAAGTCACCACTGTTCTTTCTTAACTTTGAACTCAGAACAAACGTCCGTTGGATATGCAGAGTTGGTCCTTTTAAAATTAAACGGGGTGAGGTGTCAAGCCAGGTCTTCAGGCTCAAGTAGAGTTTTGTTTGTTTGTTTTTGTTGGTTTGTTTCAGAAAGCCAAGGACTTGCATGAACATCGCAAAGCTTTTGTTGGTGGTGAACGAAGTGAAGTGAAGAAAGAAATCTCCAAGGCTCAGGAAAGAGTTATCATGGAAACTGTAAGCCATGTGTCTGTCATGCTGTGTGCCTCGCGGAATGGCTTCCTACGGGCAGAGATGAAATAATGATTCCCCAACTCTCCATTTTCAAACAGCAAGAGCAAGATGTGTCTGTCGTTGAAACGTACCTTCAATCCCTGGTCGTTGACTGCCCTGAAGAAACCATCTGAGGCTCAGGAAGAGGACGCACAGGGAGCATGGGCCTTGCTAATAGGATGCTCGTAGTAGTCAGTGCAGCTAGCTCCTTTCTCTTTACTTGGTTTGTTAGAAGTAAGACTGGGACTCTGTTAACCATTGGCTGAACTCCAGACTGTTCTTAGAGTAGCAGCAGTTAAGTGTGGATCCTCCATCCCCTGACAGCAAAGGAGATACATTCTCCCCACCAGTGGCACTTAAAAATTTGGAAGAAAATACTGTCATTTGATTTTACGATAGGCTTCTTTGGTTTCCCGTCTCTCCCCCAAAGTGAATGTTACCTTACTTATTTCAGGAAGAAATAAATAACGATGGCATTCATTAACCTGTGCATGTTTTCGTTATTCATGAGGTCACAGGGCCGATGCCACTGCAAATGGGCCGTTACAGAAAACCAACCCAACATGTTCACTCAGACTTACTGAGCACAACTCATGTTGTTGTGCTCAAGATGTGCTAAATTGTTAACACGATTCCCACAGCAGAGACAGATCGTAAGGTCCTGGGTTTGAGCTTGCTGTGAGGCTGTGGCATTTCCCAAAGACATTCAGACTCGTTTCCAGGCTGTATTCAACACTGGTTGAAAGGGACCTGCTCTTTCCTTTGGCCGACAACATTTATCGATGAATATCAGCATCAGCGTTTACAGTTTGAGAATTTAACGATGGCTGTTCCCAGGAGCATTTTCTCGAATTATCTTGAGAGTTTAATTTTCATCAAGTCCTTCTACTTGTATGCGTGTGTTTGTCTAACTCTTGAGTCATTCTTTTACTTTTCTCAAGTGCTGGATTTTTTTTTGATGAATCCTTAGAATCTGTTCAGATACTATCTGACCTTTATTTTCATGGGTGTGTACTTGTTGAGTCTTTGTGAGCATGTTCCAAGGGTGTGTTGGTACCCATGAAGGCTGGAAGAGGGGCTCATTTCCAATCTCCAGGTCCCACAACATCAGAACTGACTCCCAAGGCCTGTAGCTGACTTATGTGTGCACCCTGTTGTGGTGATATATTACTAACGATTTATTAAAGCTTGCCTGAGTGTACAGAAAGCAAAGCTATCCGGGAGCCACAGAACCAGGCAATGGTACTGTACATCTTTAATCCCCGCAGTACGAGGTATAAAAGGAAGAAACAAAGGGTCTCAGGAGAGTTTTACTCTCCAGCCAAGCTGAGGACAGGACAGCCCTTTTGGCCTGAAGTAGAGTAAGATCTATTGACCGGCTGCTTTGCTTTTCTGAGTCTCAGCTTGAAGCTTGAACCCCAACATCTGTCACTTGGTTTTTTTTATTCACTTTACACTCTGTCCCACGTGAGCATGCACACAGACACACGTACATAGATGCACACACAGAGTGGGGCTTGAGTTACAGCTGGTTGTGAGCTACCCAAGGTGGGTGGTGGCTAGCTGAACTGGCGTCTTCTGGAACAAGAGCAGGAGCTCTCGAGGGATGAGTCATCTTTCCAGCCCTGATCAGCATACTTAAAATTGTTTCACCTTTTACCTGGAGTTTGTGAGATAAACTTGTTCTTTGTGCAGATTGCAGGAAAGCGCCTATTGTGGAAAACAAGACCCTTCTGGCAGTGAAGAGAAAAATGATGATCACATTTCCCTGTGCTTCCCTTTCATGTGGCCCTGCTACCATGCTTTGTCCCCCGTTTTCCTGGTGATTTCTTTATAATTGTCCTTGGAAGTGGTATCAGCCTGATGGATTTTACAAAAATATTACACTCTGCGTGTGTGTGTGCCTGTGAGTGTGCGTGTGTGTTTGTATGTGTGTGTGCGTGTGTGTATGTGTAGGACAAGGGTTGATACTGGGTATCTTCTCTCACCCCGTTCTTTTCCAGACAGGATGTGAGATTTATTACTGAACATGATTTACTAGGGTAGATGAGAGCACCACAGTAGAACACCTCAGCAGCACAATGCCCGCCAGTGTCCCGGGGGCCAAGATTGGTGATACATTTGACCCCACAGTCATCAGGGAAGAGCCTCTTTTCAACAACCATGTGTTCAGATCTACCTGTATTCAACTTAGTGAACCCCCATCACTTTGAGATGTACATATAGAGAAAGATGAGAGAGAGAGAGAGAGAGAGAGAGAGAGAGAGAGAGAGAGAGAGAGAGACAGACAGAGGCAGAGAGGGAGGGAGAGACAGAGAGACAGAGACAGAGACAGAGAGAGGGGGGGAGGGAGAGGGAAGTGAAAAAGAACTCAGTGAGGAGGAACAGGGCAAGAAGGTGGGAAGGAGGGACCCAATAACATCACCTGCCCTCTGGCAGCCAGAGAGCTTGAACTTGGTTTTACATAGGGCCTCCCATCAGATGTTCCTTATTCTGAATCGTGAGTCAGGTGGATGTGATGGCCTAGACAATGAGAACCCTGGCCATGGTGACCCGAGACTTTCCTAAGGCACCACGAATACCTGTCTGGAGCCTAGACTGGGGGCAACATTCAGATCAGAGACTTCAAAAGCCATCAGCAAATTGTCTCCAAGGTCCCTTAGGGTAGCCCATAGAGGCCAGAGGGTAAATACACTCCAAAGGAGCTAGCAACCATTGCACACCAGGACCCCGTGAGGAAAGGGAACTACCTGATCATCTTAATGGCTGCAGATTTACCTTATCTTTTAAGACACAGCCCCTCAGTGAACATGGGACTCACTGATTTGGTCAGGCTGAGTGGCCGGAGAGCTTTGGGGATGGATCCATTTGTCTGTCCTCCACCCCAGACTTGCTAGCCCTGGGGTTTAAGAATATTGCTGTGCCAAGGTTTTCCATAGGTGCTAGTGATCTGAACTCAGGTCCTCATGTTTGCACGGCAAACACTTTACCTACTGAGCCGTTGCCTTTGCCCATCTTTAGTTTTATAGTCACTAACATTAGTGTTACAAATGGGCGACATTCATGGTACCATTTCCTCTGTTGTACATATGTGCACAGATGATGTACAGTCTCACCACGCTTACACCTTCTCCCCTACTCTGAGATGTTACATCTCACAGATCTCTTCACAGTGTAAAATGGTCCTACTTTCTGGCCCATGGTTTTCATTTTCAGGATTTTTTGCTGTTGTTGTTGTTGTTTCTTTGATTTTGTTTTTGTTTTCCATGTATTACATGAAAGAGAACATGTTCGACTTGGCATATTTCTCTTACATGGTGTAATGTCCTATTTCATTCATTTGCCTGTGGAGAACAGGCTTTCCTTTTCTTGTCTCTTGAGTGAATGGATATGACATAGCATTAATCTTCATGCTGTCATGTGCTGATGGTCACCCGGGATACTTCATTGAGCTTGTAGATGTCTCCTCTAACTAGAAGGACATGTGTCTTGGTTAGTCTGGGTTGTCAACTTGGCTGGATTGAGAGATGCCTATGGTAAGATTAGGGAAGTTCACTTCTGGTGTGCCTGTTCCAGCATCATTTTCAGAGAGGACTGATTTACAGGAGAGTAAGAGGGGAATGTCCCTCCCTGGGTGTGGATTCTCCATAAAGTAGTCTGGGAGCCCAGGCAGAATTAAAGAAAAGGAAGAGAAAGCCTGACTGGGAAGCCTAGTCCCATCCTTCCTGAAGCAGTGTGTGTAGCACTGTCATCATCACTCATGGCCAACAGAATCCAGAGACGTCCACTGGAGATGCCCAGCAGATGCACACCAGGGAGCTTCCAGGCCTGGATTGGGGCTGCATTACTTATCCTCCTTGAGCAGAGGCTTCCAGCTTGTCAGTTTAGCTAATATGAATTATCCCACTCTCCAGCATGCAGAAAGTCATTTTGAACCACTTACCCAACTGGGTAAGGCATCCAATGAATTCCACCCACCCCAAATTGTTGTGGGGGAGATGTGGTGTGTGTGTGTGTGTGTGTGTGTGTGTGTGTTTGTACACATGTTCATTTTTCTTTTGATTCTATTCACCCAGAGAATCCTGACTTATGCGAGGTTCTCAAGCATGGACCACCAACTGGGTAAGGCATCCAATAAATTCCACCCAATGCATGTACTTGTGTGTGTGTGTGTGTGTGTGTGTGCATGTGTACATTTTCTTTTGATTCTATTCACCTAGAAGAATCCTGACTTATGGGGGTTCCCTCTTAAGCATGTAGTGGCCAAGATTTTAGATATTGTCTGCTATTACATCAATGTGCCAGTTTTTTCTTCCGTACCCACAGTTTTGCTCATTCTAGAGGATCACTCTACTGCAAACCTGTATCTCCAGCCGTCAGTCACCCTGTCATTGGGTAGGTTTTCCATCCTCAGCTAGCACCTCTCCTTTGGGTTTCCCATGATCAGGCACTTGACCCTATTGGAATTCCAGAGATCCTGTCACTGCCTTCCATGTTTGTGTGTTTTCCTTTATTGCTGTCTGCATGTAGTATTCCAAAGAACTTGTGCACAAGCTCTGGCATCTCTTCTCCTGTTTGGTCTATTCTGTTCTCGGGGCTTTCCAGTGACATTTTAAAATCTGACTTATTCAGGCATTTTGGAACTGTTATGCACTTGTGTTTCTCCCTATTCCTGCAGTGCTGAGGAATCAACCCAGAGTGTCAGTCAGAGTAGCTAGGCAACCGTTGTACCACTGAATTACATTCCTGACTGTACTGTATATTTTGTTTCCAACCAGAGTTAATTATAGATGAGGTTTTTTTCCTTTATCTTTCTTTTCTCATTCCTTTCCTTTGTTTTGACCTCTTTCAAAACTAATTATATAAAATATACCAATTAATAGATTTCACTGTGAAAACTTGTGATCATTCCCACACTCACACTTGAATACTTGTTTGTACCTTCTCTTTCCTTCCCATCTCTCCCCATCCTTCAGGCTCCTTTCCCTTGACTTAGAGGTCCCTGTTCATGGGGGTGGTGAGTTCTTCCCTTCCTATGTCAGGATGAGCTTGTGCTCATGGCCACACAAACCTAGGTGGAAACAGCGTATTGTTGGAGGCAAAATGAAGAAGCAGCTAGGAAAACCCAGCCCTGTGTCCTCAGGCAGACCTTGAAAAGTATTGCCAAAATGGAAAGGGGGATCTTAATTTCTACTATTCATTTCATCCTCAAAGGCAGGATCGCCTTAGATGGTGCATGACTGCTCATAAATTGTATTAATCAGATTTTAAATGAGAAGTACAAAAATGAGATGGTGATTAAAGGCATTCTTCTGTACTCTGCTTGATTTTACTATGCAATATGTTTCTTTTGATAATATATCCTCATAGGTTAACTAAATTCAACTGTGTTTCTGAGTGGTGGATGAATTTGTCTTTTTATGTAGGTGCCAAATTATAGTTGGGTTTGATTAAGCAGAATAAAATGTGTTTACACCCAATGAATGTTCTGGCTGTTTGGATATAAATGTCTCAAGGAGTTGCTCCTGTTATAGACAGCTGTGTTCAATGTGATAGGAAAAACTCCATCTTGTATTGAAGATAATGTATGAATTTCCTGGATCGGGTTCACTATTCTTGTGCACTGATATCCTGGGTGGGACAAAGCAGAGAGCCACGGAATAGTTGTCTATGTAATTCTCTGATGGTACTATATATATATATATATATCATCCTCATTGAGTGTATTATCCTGAAAGAGCAAACAAAAGGCAGTCTGTTCATGGCAGGAACACAAACACTTGTGGAGTATTCATAAAATAAGCAGAGTCATTGTCTTCAGTTACATTGGTGTTGGCTAGCCCAGCAGGCTCCAATGGACAGTTCTGAACCTGTGGTCCAATGGATGGGGCTGGATAAACTCAGTCGTGGCTTTGGTGTAATATCTCAGTAGTTAAGACCACTTGCTCTGGCCTTTCGCAACTGCGTCCGCAGCCATGAGATGGGCTAGCTACAGCAGAGGCTGCTCTCTAGCATCCTCCGCTGTGGTAAAGAAGGTCTGGCGGACCCCAATGAGACCACGCCACCGCCAACTCCCCTGTCAGCAGATACGAAAGCTGATTAAAAGATGGGCTGATCATTCGCTCTCCGTGACTGTCCATTCCGGCCCGGTGCCGGAAAACACTCTTGCCTCGCAGGAAGGGCAGGCATATGGGCATAGGCAAGTGGAAGGGCATACCAATGCCAGAATGCCCGAGAAGGTGCTCCTGGATGCGAAGGATGCGGGATCCTGCGTCGACTTCTCAGGAGATACCGTGAATCCAAGAAGATTGACTGCCATATGTACCACAGCCTATACCTGAAGGTCAGTGAATGTTTAAAACAAGTGATTCTCATGGAGCACATCCACAAGCTGAAGGCAGACAAGGCCCGCAAGAAGCTCCTGGCTGACCAGGCTGAGGCTTGCAGTCTAAGACCAAGGGAAGCACGAAGCACAGGAGAGCGCTCCAGGCCAAGAAGGAGAAGATCATCAAGACTGCCTGCCCAAGGAGGAAGAGACCAAGAAATAAAGCTCCTCATGTCTGTACATAGGGCCGTCGTGTGGCCTCAGGTGGATCATTAAAATAATAAGTAAAAACAACAACAACAAAAAAAGAACACTTGCTCTGTGAGTATGAGGCCCTGAGTTCAAAGCCCCAGAACCTTTGTAGAAATACAGACATGGCCGCATGTGCCTGTAACTCTAGAGTGGGAGACAGGGTAAATCCCAATAGGACAGTGACCAGGCAGCCTAGACGAAACATCTGGCTTTTGGTTCATTTGAACGACCTTTCAAGGTAATAAATGGCAAAGCTATAGAGATGCCAAGCGAGGTCCTGCTTTAGCCACTGCATGCATATCAGGCATCCATGCATTAAATACACAATACACACATGTGAGAAAGGAAAACTCAGTGGGTCAGAGCACAAAAGGTCATGAAAGTGGGAATCGAATTTGCAGGGCGCTTTGGAGCTTACGGGATTCACAGGGAGATAAAAGCAGGTTGGATCAGAGTAATCAGAACATGTCAGGAATTGTCAAAAAAAAAACTCAACCCAATTTAACAGACAATGATTGATCCTGAATTGCGTAGAGATAAGATGTGCTAAGTGACTTGTCTGCCGTCTCGGGAGAAAGAAATACTGTTAAGACCACATCGGTCTACGTCACTGTCCATTTCCCCTTGGAATATTTTAGTTGCCATTTCATCATCCTCCATCATTAGTGTTGGCGAGGGCAAGTCTGTTGTGCTTTGGAAGCACTTTCTTCATATTGTGATGGAATATCACACTGTTCATCACTATCATTTGGAGGCAGAAACTTTATCTAGACTGTTCTCTTCAGATTACAACTTTGAATATGAAGTTAGCCATGGATGCAGATTGTGGTGGTTTGGACAAGATTGGCCACCATAGGCTCATATATTTGAACGCCTGGAGAGTGGCATGTAATAGGTGTGGCCTTGTTGGAAAAAGTGTGTCTCTGACTATGGGCGTTGGTGTTTCAAAAGCTCAAGCCAGGACCGGTGTCTGTCTCTTTTCCTGCTACGTGCAGATCCAGAGGTAGAACTGTCAGCTGCTCCTCCAGCACCACGTCTGCCTGCAAGTTGCCATGCTCCCTGCCATGATCATAATGAGCCAAACCTCTGAAATGGTAAACCAGTTCCAATTAAGTGATTTCCTTTATAGGAGTTGCTGGGTCTCTTTGAAGCAATAAAACCTAAGACAGAGATCAAGCCAAGAAACAGACAGAAAACCTCTCTTGGCATCAGGCTTAGCTTCTGAGGAGTCCATTGTGCCAGAGACTGAAGTGGTAGGGCTTTATGCGGTGGTTCAGGAGGGAAGGTAGACGGTATGAGCTTAGAGGACCAAGAAGGATGGTGGAGGTGGCCATCCTCTCTGGAACTACTGTGCTATAAGTCACTGCAGAGAGCCTAGGAGCATACAGAAGTTTCAGCAAAAGAGAGGCAGGGGTGGCAGGCGTGGCAGGGACATAGGTGAGACATGGTACTGTTGAAGGAGACCCCCATACCCTGGATTAGGCATAAGCCCCCCCAAACACTTATTTTCACAGAGCGATCCCTTATTAGTCTCAGAAGAAAAGTTAAAGTGGCTGCTTTCTGACTCGGGTAGAAGAACAGCAGCAGATGACCCTACAGGTGTAATTGCTAAGAGGAGGAGAACGGGAGGCCTGTGCTAGAATGGGCTAGGATGCAGTGGTAAAGGAGATAGGGACAAGGGAGAAGGGGAAGGGGTGTTTCTTCCAGACGGAAAAAGAACAGCCTCTGGACAGAGGGAGACCGATGTAGCGCAGAAGAAATGGTGGATTATAAAGGTAAAGGGGGAAACCTCGTGTTAGGGTGAGGTGTTAATTTTAATTGGGCATGTTAATTAGGTGAGTCAAAGTGAGCTTCTGATAACTGGACCTTGGTAGTTAGCTTCAGGAGGAGGAAATGGATGGTCAAATAAGGAAATAGACCTTGGTGGCAGTCTTTGGGAATGCAATCCAACAGTCTTTAGAAAGGCATTGGGAGTGGGAGAGACGGGGCAAGACCTGCCAGAGCCATACCACGCACAAGCTGGGCCAGAGTCCCTCCAGTCATCAATGTTGGTACCTGCGCCGCAGAGATCACTCTCAAAATGGCACCTGTGGAGAGTCTTTAAACCAGTGGTTCACAACCTCTGGACCTTGGCCCCTGGGCAGGGGTGTCTAAAGACCCTCTCACAGGGGCTGCCTAAGGCAATCAGAAAACACAGATATTTACATTAAGATTCACAACAGTAACAACACAACATTGCTATGAAGTAGCAATGAAAACAGTTTTATGGTTAGGTGTCACCACAACATGAGGAACTGTATTGAAGGGCTGCAGCATTAGGAAGGTTGAGAAGGTTCAGAAACGCTGCTTTAAACGCTCAAAGCCCACCTCCAGTGACACATCTCCTTCCACGAGGCCACGCTTCCTAAGCTTCTCCAAATAGCCCCACAGACTCGGGAAGGAGAAACAAAATGTCTGAGACTACGGAGGTGCATCTCATTTTGACTTCCACGGCCCTAATGCAGCTGAAGGCAAATTGCAGCTATGAACCAGACCTCAGCATGAGGGACCAGGCGGGGAGATATACCGTACAAAGCCTGCCCAAAGACTAGTACGTGTTGCCTGCTGGTCCCTGCTTCATGCATGCATGTGCATGGTGGACAGGCTGCATCCTGACTCATCCTCTTTTCACCGGGAAAACCTGGTGACTCCCTTTTCTTGACTACATTTCCCAGAATCCTCCTCGACTCCTAGTCCCACCCATCTTTCTTCCCTGTTGGCCAACAGTGCTTTATTTATCAACACGTACACAGAAGGGCTTCTCCCATCAATGGGGAATGTTCTTCTGTGTATAAGTTTGTAACGAAAGGGTCGAATCGCGCCGCCAACCACACCCACATTGGGCATGACTAGAGACAGTGCGGTGAACTATTCCACTAGCCAGGCCCACTTTTGTGCTTGGCTATAGGCATGTACGGAAGAAGGAATAAAAGACCAAGCAACAGAGCCTCTCGCCCTCATTTCAGCTTCCGGTTCAGTAACGAAAGACATGACTCATCTGGGTTCCCCGTTTTCTCTTTTGATTTCCACAATTTAAACAGTTACCTATACCTTCAACAAGCATGCCGTTTATCATTGCAGCGACACTCCAGTCTGGTCCAAACTGGGAAGAGTGAAAGAAAACACATGGAGAACAGAGGGGAATGCAGAATTAACAAGGACTGGGTGTTTAAGCATTTCAGGGTTCCCAGGAAGCTTTCCCGAAAGCATGCTAGTCTATCAAAGGAACAACAAAGAAAAGGGACTCTGTGGAAGGAGGGGTCAGGAGGAAGCAGACACAGAGCCATTAAACCTGATTGTTAGAAGAGAAAAGAGTGAGGCTCTCATACCACACATTGCAGGCATGATGAATCAGACAAGTACCTACAGCCCCCACCACCCACCCATGGGCATACGCAAATGACGGGTCTGTCTCAAACACTTTTGCCTGCTTTGCTGTGGGAGTTTCTGGAAAACCGAGTCGCCAAGCAGTTTTCAGTGGGGGAGAGGAGAATTTATTTCTCTGGTGGACAGGACACCAGGATCCCTCCCTAATGGCATTGGCCCTCAGCTTCAGTCAGGTTCAGTAGCCTCTTATTTGGTGGGAGACCAGAGGCAAGCAAGCAGGAAGTACAAGCAGAGGAGCATGTACATGGCAGTAAAGGTAGGTTGCTGGGTTAAAATTCAGTTACTCCACCTCCTCTGGGCCCCACCTTTTGGTGGGGGTGGGTTCAGTTCAGAGCAACTACCTCAGTCCTGGGGAATTCCAATGTTTTTAACATGTGGCAGTTGAGGAAGGGTTTCCACCAGAGCTTCACCTGTGTGCTGGCTTGTAGATGTGCCCCATAGCATCAGGTACTGGAACACTTGGTCCCTCATGCTTGGATGCTAGAGTGCCCTGGTTGTAGAAAAGCATGTCTCCGGAGACTGTCTTGCGGCCATTGCCGCACTGCTATGGGCCAGTCACGTCTGTACCTCCAGGCAGTTTCTCAAGGCAGACAGCCTTGTTTGGGAAAACAATCCCAGGAAGAGGAGATCATAGATTTCTCAAGAATATCTTAATCTGCATGTACCCCTGAGAGCTGCATCAACTTGCGCATATCCAAGCCCCTTGCCCACTCCTGTAAGGGCCGTGACCACCTCCCTCCCCTTGGTAGACTTTAGATCCCGAAAAGCTGCAGCCCCTCTCCGTGCTGATGAACACAGGCTTAACTTTTGAGGTCGGAATTTGGTCTCCTGCCTGTCTTTTGTTTCGTCCACTCTGAAATTGAACAGTGGCTGTTGGGAGAGGCTAAGAAGATGAGGCCTTGCTGAAGGAAGGAAGTATGTCGCTAGGGGTGTTGTTCTTTTGGTTAAATTTCAATCGCGATGGAACTTACAGGCACGCGATGGAACACGAACCAAGAGATTCATTAACCATGGAGATTATTAAAGAGGGGAAGAGCGAGGGGGGAAGAGGGGGGGCAGAGTGCAAGGGAAGAGGGCGCAATTGGAGAGGGCAGAGGGAAGGAGTGAGCACGTGAAGGTGCTCGCTTAAATGGTTACCCTTGCACGTGTGTGCTGAGTCCTTACGCAGCCCCGTAACAAGTAAGGTAGCCATGACCTGGCCATGCCACAGTGTGCATGTGTCCTGCGCATTGTCAGGGCCTGAGGTGTGCATAATGCTGAGCTTCCAACAATCTGGTCTCTTCTTATTATTAAACAGTTGGGGATTTAGGCATGGCAGGTTAGGGAATAAGAATGTCGAGTCCTCAAGACTACTACCTGCTGACCTGGGGGCGTTGCCCAACTTTGGGGGACCTGAGAAACTGGGGTGCCGCCCCGTCCTGGGGTATCTGGTTGCTCCACCGCAGCTCTGGCTGTACGGAACCCTGGCACCTCTGTAGACCTCACAAGAAGTTATCAGAGCAGAGGACAAAGTTAAGTTCAGAAAAAGAATTTTTTCCTTAGGTCCTGTTACTTGAGGGGAGGATTGTAACACAAGGGAAGGGTTCCCGAGCGGGATCCAAAGGTGAGGCAAGGGAGTCCCGGGACCAGACAAAGGTTGAATAATATCTGGAGTGAATCTGACCTGTTTGGGTGTGTCCAATTCGGTACCCTGGAACTTGCAAGAATCCTTTCTTGAGTATAAGTATTAGACACATTAGCAGCATATTTATGTTAGAGAGCACTTGGCTGACAGTAATAACATTCTTTAAAACCGACAGATGTCTCTAGGATGATGAAAACCCCCTTAATTTTGACCTTGCAGTTATCGTACAGTGGTATAGCTTGCTGTTTAGTACCGTATCAGAGTTTTGGCTGAAAGCATTAACATTTTAAAAACTGACAGATATCTGTAAGGCAATGAAAAGTGCCTTTTGAGTTTGCAGTTATCATATGGTGGCACAAGAAGTTGTTTTGTCCCCAGACAGAGTTGGGTTAGTAGCTTATCAGAATTTTATTGATTAATGTTAAGACTATGAACGGTAGCCTAACAAGAGAGAGAAATCTGCAACATGTTTCATTCTTTTGAATGTCTCAAATCATTTTGTCATCACTTAAGCCTTTTTATCCTCAGACCCTCATAACTTTCATTCATACACCTTACATTACCATCTCAGAGCTTTCATTCTCAGACCTTTAGAGCTTACATTCTCAGACCTCCATAATCTTAATTTGTCCACCTTCTTAGACCTCTCCATCCTCAGACCTTCATAACTCGAATACTCAGACCCTCATACACCCTACACTTTCCTATCTTCACAGAGATAAACCCTGAAACACCTGTTCCTGAAATCTGTTTTTTGACAGTTGGAACCTTGGCTGCTGCCTCAGGCTGGCAAAGCTACCAGTCGCCAAAAGCGTCGCAGTTCTTGAGAACGATAAACTTTCACCTGAATTAATGATTAGAGAATGAGAAAGACTTGTTAGATGGCTGTATGGGCAGCCATCCCAGAGTCGTCCATAGTTGTTGAGGGCAGAGGCTTTTCCGGACGCCTGCCTTCTGCTGAGAGAGTGAGACCCGTTGATTAGGAGCTTGTAGGAAGACTTTCCTACCTTGGGCCCAAGCAACTTGGAGAAAGTCGATTCCACTGTCCTCTTTACCACGGTCCCAAGAGTCCTTTGCAGCAGCTGAGGGGAAAGGCAGGGTCTCTCAGTGGCTAGCGTTTCCACTCTTGTGGGTGGGGTTTCTCCAGTGTCCACCAGTCTTGTTCAAAGAAATGGGGTGGGCCCAGCAGTTGGCCTGTCTCTGTTATGTAAAGGTTTCTAATAAAACATTTTAAATGTCGTATTGTCGAGATCTCTGAGCATTTGAGGGCTGTCTGTTTAGTTTAGTTTAGCTCAGCAAGCTAAATTTGTCTTTAGTTACTTGCCTTAAGCACATAGGTGGCTAGGTAAGTCTTTATTCCCGTAATTTAATTTGTGTGACTCTTGGTAGGTACGGCTTCAAAGTAGCGAAAAATCCCCTTTTGTAATAGAAGCTTAACCTTTGTAAACAGCTTACAGGAAGGACTGGGCGGAGTAAATATTTTGCTAATTTGAAATATACCTTTATAACCTTAAATGTTTACCATCATTTAAACATATATAACAATTTAAAACCAGGAGAGACAGCTGATCTGAACAAGTGGGAGCTCTTGGACCCCAGACCCACAGCTGGGAGGCCAGCATGGGACTGATCCAGACCCCCTGAGTGTAAGAGTCAGTGAGGAGGCCTGGGCAATCTATGGGGCCCTGGGAAGTGGATCAGTGCTTATCCCTGGCATACAAACGGACTTCGTGTGTCCATAACACAAAGGGGGATGCTCTCTCAGCCTGGACTCTAAGGGGAGTGCCTGGACCCTGCCCTGAGTGAAATGACAGACTCTAGATATCCCCTATGTGGAAGGAAGTGTCGATAGGGTGGGAGGCTGGGGGGGGGGTATGGTGAGGAGGTGCAGGAGGAGGGGAGGGAAAGGGAACTGGGATTGACATGTGAAGCAAGCTATTTAAAATTAAACTAATAAAAAAAAACCAAAAATACAACATTAGAAATGTTTGAGACTTAGCTCAGTTGAATTTAAGGTGCATAGGGTTAGATTACATTTTTAAACACTAGCTACGTGTGTATGCAGACATAGATATGTTAAACAGGCCTGGGTAAGAGTAAGAAGAACCAGAGTGTGATCTCTGATTCTCAGGTCGCAGCAAACAGACAGGACATTTAAAGATACAGCGTAGGCTTAAAACTGCCAGCGATAAGAAAGCAGACCTGCTGCAGATGAAACAGGCAAGGTTTCTGCGTGAAATGTGTGGCCTACCATGCCCTGCCTGGAAAGGCACGCCATTCCACAACCAAGCCATGAGCAACCGAGCCAGTGAAAGAAGAAACTAGAGACATAAACAAAAACCATAAAAGGCAAAAAAGTCAATACAATCGGGCTAGACTGTCCCTCTGCATTCGATGGGGCAAGGGAGTGGGCGGGCCTACAGCTAGGCCACGTGGTCAAGATGACCTCTTCCATGAACACATTCCCGGATGGCAGAAGTTAGAAAGCCCTGAGATATGATTTTGTTAGCTTTTTTCTCCACGAGTGAGGAAGAAGGCCTTGTGAACAGGACGTCAGAGTCCAAGGGGAACAACACCCCCCCCCAAAAACACATTGTAGGTTCAAGAAGCGAATGTACCATCTATGGACAGTGCTAGGCTACAAAGCTCGAGAGACCCCTCGTGGGTCTGAGAAATGAATGCACCAGTCAGTCCAAAACCTGAAAACTCTCCGAGCATCCTGAGCAGACACTGTGTCAGGCCAGCTCACTGTGAGGCGCTGGCATCTGCATGGAGAATAAACACCACGGTGTAAACACCAGCAGAGACAGGACAAACAGGAGAGTGAGAGACATTGTGAACAGGAGCATAAGAGGTCTATGACACCTTCCTCGGTGGAAGGAGGTTCCTGCCCTGAGACAGGCTTAGCCATGGTGGGAAGGGGCGGGGGCGGGGCGCCGCTGTGGCAGGAGGGAGTTTCAGCTTGCTGGGAGAGGAGGGAAGAAGGCGGGTATAAGGGAAGAGACCGTTTAGCAGCAGAAAGGTGGAAGCAAGCTTAGATATATGGCAACTCCTTTCGTTTACCCATGCGCTGGCAGTAACTGGAAAGGTCCCGTAAAACGTAGACGTGGTCAGTATGATGGACATTTCCCATGGGTGAGGCCGAAGATGGCACAGAGGCTCTTGGAACTCGTCAGCCCGAGAACATGGCCAAGGGCGAGGCCCGATACTGACAGGAATCAGCAGTGCCAGAGAAGGCAGCGATCTGTAACTGCTGAAGTCACGGAGAGTCGAATGCACCACTCAGAGGGGGCGGTGCGGGTCCTCGTGCGTGGGAAAAGCACCAGAGGCCATGGTCTGTGAGAGGGATCAGCCGTGGCCTTAAAGACTGCGCCTAGGGCTTCTCCCGCTCTGCTCCGCCACCAGGCCTCGAGGAGCGCCTCAGCTGTCTGTGCGCATGCGTGCAGGATCGCCCCACTCGAGCAACCCAGAGGACCCGCTGGCCTCCGTCCCACGCTCGCCTCCCTGTCCCAGCCCATCAGAGACAGCCACACCGGAAGCCCCGCCTTCCTGGCCGTGGCCGTGGCCCAATGAAATGCAGCCGTGCGCCTTCCCTCAACCGGAAAGGCAAGTGTGATTGGGCAGGGGGCGTTGGGCCCCTTGACGCCTGCGCCCATGCCGGAACCCCATGCGCACGCGCTATTACGCCAGCCAATCAGAAAGCGCTATATTGGGAGGTGGGGCCAAGCCACGCGAGACCAACCTCTGCGAGGCAGGAGGCTCTCTGGCGGGGGCAAGGCGAGTAGGTGGGTGGCGGCACTTTTTGTGTGTGGATTCGGGGGACGTTTCTCGGTGGAGTGGCGGGGCCCGGGGGTGCGTTAGAGGCATCGGCATCGGGGCAGAAGGACGCTCTCGACGTGGGACAGGGGGACCGCACAGCGAGACCGTCCAGCGTGGCCCGTGATGTGACTTTGGGAGCCTCGCTGCCATTTCCCGCCAGAGGAGGGAGGAGGCGCCAGAGCCAAGAATGAAAAGCGCTGATGAGGGCAGAGCAGAGGGGCGGGGCAGAGCTACTGGGCTGGGACAGGGCGTGAGGACTTTCCACATCTGCCAGGGTTTCTGTCTGTTCCTAGCCTCGGGTCCTGACTACACCACCGACTGGGTCCTCCCACGACCCCGCCACTGACAGTGGGTGACTGACTCGTGAGCGGGCCTCACCTCACACCTTTGGGAGTGCCTGCAGGCCGCCTCAGGCTTGCCTGCAGGGTGCAGCTCCTGCTACTCCTAGAGTCCTTCCAGGGGCTGGGGCTTCTGTCTGAGGGGGCAGGAAAGCAGCCTCTCAGACGAGTGAAGTCAAGTGTAGTCACCTAGGTGAGTGGTGGCCAGATAGCGGACTCAGTCACGGGCCAGGATCCCCGGCCCTTTGGGGACGAGAATGGGATACCGAGGCAGAAGGGTCAAGGTTAATCTGCGATGTGAAGTAGGCAAGACTCACTCTCACCTGGAAAAGAAATAGAACACTGAAGGTGATGCTGCAACGATAAACGGCACACGTGAGGGTATAGGTAACTGTTTATCGTAGACATTTCTCACAAGAGAGAAACGAGCAGCCCAGATGAGTCAAGCCTTTCTCCACCAAACTGAAAGCACAAAAGAGCAAGAGGTTCTGCTGCTCAGTCTTTTATTCCTTCCTCTGTACACGCCCCTAGCCACGCCCAAAGAGGGCCTGGCTAGTGACGTAGTTCACCGCCTACGTCCATATATAAATAATATATATATTATTATATGTATATGTATATATATATATATGTCTTTAGTCACGCCTAGTGAGTGTGGTTAGTGGTGCCGTAAACCGCCCTTTTGTTACCTCATCTGTACGCGCCCCAAAGTGCCACATGACTAATGGCGGAGTACTAAGTTTCCCCTACACTGAAAGCCAGTGGAGGGTGGGGTCCCGGGGGTTGTGGGTTTGAAGAGAGTTGGGTGTGACGGTGAGGTGTCGAGGAGGAAGTAGTGACCGTCCCCGTATTTCTCCGTGTCCAACTGGAGTCCTCAGGAGATGAAGTCTGGGTCTCCCTTACATGCAGCCATTGGGACTTGCCTCGACAGAAATACCTGTCTGAGGGAGGTGGGGCAGCTCTGGGCCCCTTCAGCAACCAGCAACTTCTGCGTGCAAATCCCACAAGTGCCAACTGAAGCCACTTAATCCTGGGCGTGTATGAGAGATGTGCTTTGGGAGGTGGGGCCTAGATAGGTGTGACCACTCTGAGGAGGAGGCTCCCAGGAAGGGAGAGGAACCTGGGTGGATGACTGGCTCTTGGGGAGCTCTGTTATGTGTCTCCCCAGTTGTGACAGGGATCAGAGAGGAGCCTTACTTAGCTCATGTGGTAGGACAGTGGCATCACAGAAGAGGCAGGACCCGAGGCAAACCTGTGGGGGTGATGTCAGGAGCTCCACTTCCAGATGGGACTGGAAAAGGCCCCAGAGGGCGAGGCTAGGGAGCGTTCGTGAGGGCTCCGGGGACTGGGAGGGCTGAGTGGGACACCTCATGACCTGGGAGACGGGGACTTGGTGACTGAGTGGGTTGGAGTTCCCAACCAGACTCCAGAAGTAGGTGTCTTGTTTTTCAGGGGAGGGGCAGTGCCCAAGATTTTTCCCATCCCAAGGTTGGGAAAGCCGCATAGCGTGCCAATCTTGAGAGGTAGTGGGTCCAGGAGCTCCACTTTCTGGTACAGAAATGGGACGGAACAGAACACTGGTGCCCTCTCCTTGCTGTACCACAAGTGCCAGGACACCTGACCACACCCTGTGGAGTCCCAGTCCCTGTTTCCACTGCCATTTCGTAATTCCTCCTGGTATCTGTGCTTCCAGGAGTTCTGTCTAGCCCAAGAAGATTCTAGCCATGTCAGGCAGTGTAAGGAAAGCCACTGGGAGTGCCGGCATGCCCACAAGGCTGGATCCAAATCTCATATCGGATGACACCCAGAGCCCGGATGCAATCTTCCCAGGTAAAAAAAAACAAAAAACAAAAAAAACCAGATGGGCTCCTGTAGGACTGTGTCCACGCAGGAGACGTCCTAAAATCTCTTGGCAGGTTGGAGCACTGAGTGGGTGAGGTGCATGGACTCTTCTGGCAACAGCAGGAGGTTTCCTCACGCTGCTTTTGTGGCGTTAGTCTTCCCCAGTTGACATTTTCACCACACAGGAAACCTGCAAGGCTCATCCACGTGCCTCTCTGGGAGCACATGGGTCACAGTGACTCTCTGGAAGGCCTGTACATGTGCCTGCACCAACTGTTCCCAGACTCAAGCGTAAAGAGTTCCATGCATGTGTGCGTGTGCGTGTGAGGTGTGTATGCATGCACGTGCGTGACTTCACGGGTGACTACTTAAAAAGTGTAAGTAACCGTTGCTGGCTGTGGGCTCTAGAAACCCCATAATGCAGCTGTTTTCCGTGAGGGATAATGAGAACAGCACACTTCATTTCAAAACATTTTCTTCCTTTCTTTTTAATACAGCGGACCAAGAAGTCGTTGATGTCAGTGGTGAGGACATTACTTCCTCTGGAACAGAAGGGCAACAGGCCAGGTGATACGTTTTATCATTTACCTATTCATAAACTTAGAAAAGTTCGACTGAACAGAGGGCTCGGTGCAAGCGTGCTTGACGTACAAACAGGAGAACCTGAGTTCAGATCCACAGCACCCACAGAAATAGCCACGCACGACCGTGCACATCTCCTAAGCCCAGAACTGAGGGGTGAGGTATGTCAGAGGCAGGCGGATTGCGGGTGCCTGCTGGCCGGCAGCTGAACAAAATATACTGAGATTAAATAAACAAACAAACATACATGAAATCGGCAGCAAGTAAGGTGTATGCGTGGAACGAATATACTGGGTACATTGAGCTTTAAGGCCTCAAAGCATTCACCCCGAAGTCGATTAGGTAGGTGTTCAACGTGACAAGAAATGAAAATATCATGCCTCCAGCAAACTACAGGTCCTGTCATAGAACCTGTCTGATAGGAATAAGGTGGAGGTGGAGAGAGGAGGGCACCGCACTTGAACCTCTGAGGTCAGCCCAAGGGCACACGTGCCCTTCCTCTGCACACAAAGAAATCTAGAAGAGTCAACATCTGCTCTTAAAATGTGAATTGTATGTAGGCTGTGTGGCACACTCCACTTCCTCCACTCACTGCAAAAATGACCATTTGTAAACCTTGAAGTAAAATATATATATATATGATTTCTTTGCAGGAAGGAAATACAAGATTTATTTGAAGAATTTGAAGGTATGTTCTAGGAGACATTAGGAATTTGAGAAAACCGAAAACCGTTTGACCCAAAGAAGTGTAAGTCGAGGGAGTTGTCACTTGGCAGACAAGTATGGTTACTGCCTTGTTCTCAGAGACACTCAATGTCAAAATAGTATTTATTAGATTTCCAACCCTCTTCACGTTAGTTGTGGATACGGAGACGATGGCACCTGTGCTGTGGGTGCTCTTATTTACTCAATGGGAGATTTTTAAAAATTGGCTGAAGTTATCTGTCCTCCAGGTTTTGATTCCCACAAGCTGTACGTCTGCTGTTAATACCACATTTTTTTAAACCTCATTAGTTTGTATTCTAGCCCAGCTCTCCTCTTCGTGTGTGTGTGTGTGTGTGTGTGTGTGTGTGTGTGTGTGTATGTGTGTGTGTGTATGTGTGTGTATGTATGTGGTGTGTGTGTGGAGTGTGTATGTGTGTGGTGTGGTGTGTGTGGCATGTGTGTGTATGTGGTGTATGTGGTGTGTGTATGGTGTGTGTTTGTGTGGTGTGCTTGTGTGGTGTGGTGTGTATGTGTGTGTGTGTGGAATGTGTGTGTATGTGGTGTGTATGGTATGTGTGGTGTGTGTTTGTGTGGTGTGTGTGGCGTGTGTGTGTATACATGTGTATGCATGTGTGTGTGGTGTGTGTGTGTGATGAGAGTGTGGTGTGTGTGGTGTATATGTGTGTGTGTGGCATGTGTTTGTGGGGTGTGTGTGTGGTATGTGGTGTGTGTGTGGTGTGTGTTTGTGTGGTGTGTTTGTGTGGTGTGGTGTGTGTGTGGCATGTGTGTGTATGTGGTGAGTTTGTGTGGTGTGTTTGTGTGGTGTGGTGTGTGTGTGGTGTGTGTGGCATGTGTGTGTATGTGGTGTATGTGGTGTGTGTGTTGGGGAGGGTGAGGGCCAACCCCTCTCAAATAGCTACCTGCTGTTGTTTAATGTGCAAAACCAGAATGTGGAGTGGCAAGCTGAAGTCAGCACTGTTACCCTGTGATCGCTGCATGATCAGACCAAGTCCTGCTTTAAATAGATGTGTCAGACGTTAGTCACACAAACTGTAAAAACAAAAAACAGCTGGGACCTCTAGAGTTTTCTGACAGGGTGTCTTATCTATAAATTATTCAGGAATCGAGATAGGGGTGTAGATGAGTGGGAGAGCACTTGCCTAGTGTGCTTAAGGTTCTGGGTTCCATCCCCAACACCACAGACTTTTCCACGAATCAGTGAGGTTCTGCACCCCCCCCTTTTAAATGATCATTCAGGGTGTCTACCTCGTCTAATTTGTGTGAAACCTCCAATGGCTAGGATAGCCACAGTATTTTCATCTCACTGTGCAGTAATCTCTGAGCCGTTGGAGATCTTTGTAAATCGACGACTTTTGTATTTTGCACAGAGTGGCCCACCAGTCCCTCTGAACATGTCCTTGAACTGGAGCGTGTTTTGTACATTGATTAAATATATACTTTATAGATGACGTCTCAGAAAGAAATTACACAGTGACTTGAAATCCTTTTGGCAGGTATCCTTAAGCCCCATTCACTGTGTTTTGTATGGAATATATAGACACTGAAGTCCAGCTACCCAATTTCACATCAGGCTCATAACCACTGAAATTCTCAACTGCATGGAAGGAGGCAAATGATCTTACTATTGACAGATTTTTCCATCTATTGCTAACAAGTGTCTTTCCAAATAGAAAACTCAAGTTGAAGGAACTTTACGGTAATGGTTACAAGATTATATTTTAATACAGAGCCCATTAAGAACTTCCTTGAGCGAAACAAAGAAAGATTCACAGCGATCATTGCCGCGTCTTTTGAAACCATGGAGCAAAAAGTTGAGGATGTTCTAAAAAGCCAGTGTGAAGAGAGGTATGGTTGTTGCTTCTTGGTGCTTTCATCCCAGACCCTTTTGACAGTTGGTCAGTAAGTGCAATGGAAAGAGGTTGAGGAATAGCTGTGACCCTCCACTGGCCAGATCCTCGGCTGGAAAATGTATTAGGCTTGTGTTTTCTGTGTAGAATAGGCTTCCTTTAGTCTTGCTATAGCCTCACATCATAACCAAAGTCAGCCCGCGTTTGTGAGGGATGAATGGCAATGACTGTTTTGACACACTGTAGTTGAACCAGTGTATTAGTAAGGAAGGTACTGTATGCATCACATGAATGTGCTGGGCATGTTAAGCTAGAAATCCTCAAAGCATTCATCCTGCAGTCAGCCGATCTTCTGTTCGATGTGATAGAAACAAAAAATCCCATGCCTCCAATGTCCTATAGATTTCACGACTGCTGCACCGAAATCCTCCCTGGCACAATGAGAGGAAGACTGGGTAGGCTTCCACAGAATTCTCTGGTGGTAGTGGGTGTGCATGCCCATTGGATCTGTTCTTCAGAAAGAGGAAACTAACCAGAACTTGTGCCTGTCAGACAGACGAGTAAATACGTGTGGAATGCTAGTAACACAGCAGTTCTTCCTGCGCTTTCTGGTACAACTGGCTGTGAAGTGACTGCTCTCTCACTCAGGGAGGGACAAATACTGTTAGTGTAAGATAAAATAGTCCACAGCAGTGCCCCTTTTCTCTGCCTGAATAATTTAGGTGCCATTTCCTCATCCTCCATCCACAGTGCCAGTGAGGGCAAGACAGTCGTGCTCTGAAAGCACTTTCTTCATATTGTGATGGAATATCACACTGTTCATCACTGTCATTCACAGGCAGAAACTTTATGAAGACTATTCTCTTCAGTTTTTGAATTTGGTTGTGATGTGCAATATAGATGCAGACGAAGTCAAGAAACATGGAGAAAATCTCTCCGTGAGTATCAGGCTTAGCTTTGAAGGAATGCATTGTGTTAGCATCAGAAGCAGCAGGCCTTCCTGCAGGAGTCTGGAGGGAAGGGACAGGACAAGAGCTTAGGGAGACAGGACGGTGGTTCACGTGGTAAGGACAGACTGGCTATCCCTCTCCACTTGCTCCTTTTCAGGCAGGGAGATGACAAGGCCAGTGATGGGTTAGGAGCCACCATGGTGTGTGTGGGGGGGATGAGCAGTTGCTGCCTGGAGAATGCAGGAGAAGATAGGGGCTTGTATGCTCCCAGGGAGCCCTCTGTGGTCCACAGTGTGCAGACACCAGGGGAAGTCCCCCAACAGAGCCTTCTGGCACAGTGATCAGAGATACAGAGTGAGAGCAGTCAGTGTGCCTGTGCCTGTGGCAGAGCAGGTGGAGGTTTGACTTTCACTGCTCTGAGTTCAGACCAGCCCACTCCTAGTGGAGAAGAAGGTAAGGCTTCATGCCATGGTGGACATGTGGTGACTGACTCCCCTCTAACCTGGGGATCTGAATGAGGTTTTGGGGACAGCTACTGGAGTCAGGACAGTGCCATCTGTGAGGGATCTTCCTTCCTTGTGGAGGATGGAGCTGCCCTCCTGAAGATTCTGCCTTCCAAAGGTGGGGAAGCAGAGGGTGGAACACGGAGGGAGATGGAGACGCTGTCCAGTCCAGTGGTTAGGAGCATGGCCTTTGCAATCTCACCGGTTGGAGGGCAGTCACAGTTCAGTCACTCGCTAGTCAGGCTAACTCAGGAAAAATAATTTACCTCTGTGCCTCAGATTCCTAGGAGTGCAAGGAGAGATACTTAAAGTCCCCGTCTCACAGAATAGATAAAAGTATTCAGGTGTGTATTCTTACATTGGTCCAGGACAGTATCTGAAGTCAAGTCTTACAGATTCCTTCCCTGTTAAGCGTGACACTGGGGGCTCTACTCTTACTGGGAAGGACAAAATGGAGTGTGTTCCTAGATAGGGGCGTGACAGATGATGAGGACATCACAGGCTAATTTCTATAAAAAAATAGTTCACCAGCTGTGTAACACTCTAATGGGTGGCTTTTCAAATCTTCAGGAGCTAATGGGAGTGTTTTGAATACAGTTTAGTAGGAACACACTCGGCTGAATGAATGGGCTTCACATTATGAGGGTTGTTTTGTAGTATTAGGTACGTCATGTAAATGTGGTCATTGTGTGGGTTGAAAAAATACTACGGTTATATCACTCTATTTTTTGCATAAAGATAATACAGAGTCATATTTTTATAAGCTTTCTTATTCCCCCTGAATTGTTCTTACATCTTTTACTCTCTTTGTAGAATATGTTTAATGAGCAACGGAAATTTATTCATCAAACCCTGACTCTTCAGAAGAACAGAATGGAAGAAATTAAATCAGTGTGTGAACAATACTTGGAGGTGTGTTGTACATTTTGAGAAAGTAACCTATACACAGGGGCATTGAATACTCTGACATTATTTCCGTTCTTTGGTTAACACCTTTGGAAAGTTACATGTAGCGATCTTCCAGCATTTTCCTCATGGTGTCCCTGATCCATGTAAACGAGTTTTTACTTCTAGGGTTCACTTGTGATTGGGAGAATCATTCGAAGCAGGAACTGCTGCCTTGGCGATTTCATCCAGAGTTGTTCATATTGTGCAGGGCGTTAATGCTTTTCAGATCACCTCTTTTTGTTTCACAGTGCAATTTCCACTGGGTGTGTATGTGCACACCTGCGCACACACGTGTACTTGTCTGTGGGTGTATTTATGGAGGCCAGAGGTCAACCCTCCATCATGTCTTTTTGAGACAGGGTCACTCACCGAACCTGGAACTCACTTGCCACGTGGCTAGACTGGCTGTTCACCAGGTCCCTGGTGTGGCCTGCCCTACCCCAGGTCAATGTGTCACCATGCCTGGATTTTAATATGTGTTCTGGAGAGCTGAAGTCGGCTTTGGCTTTTCATATTTGTGGAGCAAGCTCTTTGCCCTCCGAGCCTTCTTCCCAGACAGCACGATCCACTTGTAGGCCTAGTGACAAGAATATGTCACAATTGCGCTTGCTTTACTTCCTCAGTCCGTTTTCATTTCCTACCATTGCATGACTGAAACATGGTCTTGTATGGCCAATTAGAGTTGTAAGACAGTTTCCAGATGTAGCACACAAGGAAAAAAGTTATGTGGAAGACTGGGAGGTTGTGAATTGAGAGTTACCCTCTGTAATAGGCCCATCTTTGTAAATTGTTCCTAGGCACATTGACCTATGCTTTCTTCAGGTTTACACCTATTTACAAAGAATTAAGTACTCGGTGTTCTGCTTTTTGTTCAGACTTGATATGAACTGGCTTGTTCCAGTTGCTCAAGTCAAAATGTTGTTCATCCAGGGTAATTAAGATGACCCAAAACAACCGAGTTGTAAAACTTCATCCCGAGCTTTCTTTTGATTGTTCCCCACCACTGACAGTGTCTGTTCCTGCTGAAATGTCATGCTTTTGCCAGCCCAGTGACCCGGAAACTAGTTTTCCTACTGCAGTGTTTAGATCTCTGTGTTTCTCCTGTTTCTGTGTTTGCCACCAGAGTATGGAAGAGGTCCTGCGAAATTCTTTACTCCCCCCACTGTATTTAACAAAACCATTTAGATGTAGTCTGTGTGTGATAAACGGACTATGGGGGTGTCAACCTTGTGTTTTAATTTCATGGTGTTCAGTGGTCATAGTACAGGACAAGCTACTCCATCTCCAAAAGAAGCGGGTGAGTGTCAGTAAATGAGCTTATGCATCATAGTCTCTGTTTTCATTCGGGTTTCTTTGCTTTTCCTATTGCGGTGCCGGGAGAGGGATCCCAGCGTCTCACATAGGCTAGGCAAGCGCCCTTCCCCTGAGCCACCCTCCTTGCTAATGCCTCATGGTTGACATTTAGAGGTGGGTGGAGGAGTAGCAGTGTCTGCGTCTCTTTGGCGGGTGTGTGGATCTTCACACTGTACACGGTGTATGCTTCTTTTGGAATAATTAAACCATGTCTTTTACAGCGTTTACTCCCTTTTAAGTGTTGCCGTTCACATTTTTAAACCAAGATGACCAGGGCTGATTTCTGCACATGTCTTTTCACTTCAGAAACTTGAGACCCTGAGGGATTCCCAGGGAGATTCTGTGGTTGAAGAGCTGAGACATCTAATAGCCACCTTGGAAATAAAGCTTCTGATGCTGAATGTGAGTACTGAGCCTTTCCTGTCAAAACTGAGGATAGATGGGCACTATTTTCTTTAAACCCAGTTAAATGTCCTTGTACTTAACAGCGCCAGCAAGAGAGTGCTGCTGCTGACCAATCTCTCCTGGACCTGTTATTCTCATAATACTTTGAAGAAACAAAAGTTGATACAAGGGGAGTGATTGTCTCATGGAAGTTTGCTGGGTGAAGCAGCTTGATGTTTGCAGCTTCTACAACTACATCTTCTGGTGTTCTCCTGTTCCTAAAGATACCCTTTCTGTTAAAACGCAAATAAACCCTAGGATTTGTGTCACCTCGGTCCAAAGATGGATGTAGGGAGCCCCAGTCCTCGGGAAGTTATGGCGAGTTTTTCCTGGTAGCATCCTAATTAATGGTTAGCAGTGCATGGATACAGTGGGGTCTTACACCTCGGCATCACTTTCCCAAATTAGAAGGCACAAGTGTGGCCCTTCCTTGTCATAGTCAGAGAATTAGTTAAAGAATACACAGATGTGCCATTACATTCTGCTGTTAAATTTCTTCAGTCATGGAGCCTGTGGCACAGAACATTCCAAAGAGAATGTGCCCTGTACACTTTAAAAGACTGTGCCCCAGAATTACTTAAATTGGTAGAATTCATTGAACCTCTCGAGTAAAAGAGATGTGAGTAAAGCAACATGAGTTTGTGAAATGTATATTTCAGAGGAAATTTACAAGGCCTTTCAATTAAATGTGGTGTGGCGATGTAATGCCATCTGCCTGTCACGTTAAGAGTTGATTCATAGCATGTATATAGCTCAGTCCCTCATGGCTTATGTATTTTGCACCTTGTATGAATAGGAGTAACTGACAAGGTTTTGCTCTTCAAATTTATTGTGCACGTAGTATGTGAACATCAGTGATATACAAATTCTTCTGTATGGATATGGATATGGATATGGATATAGATCTACCTGCCATGGGCAATCTTTAGTTGGAAACCTTTGATTTAATAAACATGAAATTGTTTCAGATTTGCTGGGGTGAGTCATTGAATTGCACTCTCTTTCTGACATCCCATGCCTTTTAAAGCAAGAAGGGTCCCATGCCATGTAGAGGTGTGCTACCACCTGTGTTTCTGCATGGGGCCAGTTGTAGTCCCGGCCACTTGTCTCTTTGTGTCTTGTTGTGTAGAAGCATTGGAAACAGAGTGCGTTCAACATCTCTCATCGTCCACAGGTGGAATTCGTTCCTCCCCTGTCAGTGAGGGCTTCCCCTCTGGGATCAATTTACTTCTTAAACTTTGAATTATTGGAGGGGGACAGGGAAACTTCCCCCTCAGTGCAAAGTACGTGTGGTTGTGTGGACATTTACTACTATTTCCAACATTGAATATCTCCTACTTGAGATATTCTGACTATCAATACCAAATGATAAATATACTACCACAGCGTTGAGTCCTGTATTATTCTAATATATGTGTGTCTCTGTGTGTGTGTGTGTGTGTGTAAATCTTACAGTATGTGGTATATGTGTAAACTGTTCATATATGTAGCATGTACACATGCGTGTGTGTGTGTACATGCATGTGTGTATGTGTGTCTGTAAATCCTTTGGTATATGGTACATTTTAGACAAGCACAACTGGATCTTTTTTGAGTTCCTCCAGAACACATTACAACCCCACAGGTAGTAAGGCTTCTAACCCCTATCATTTCCAGTGTGTGTGCCTAAAAGCAGGATTGCCATGAGGGAATCATCGTATAGGCCAGAGGGGTGTCCTGCATGTAGGAGGTAACAGACACTGGGAAAGACAGACCCATAGGAAGTGTGGAGAAGATCAGCCCTGCTGCTCTGCACCCTTGAAGTTCATCTGTGCACCAACGCTATGGTATATAAGTCAGCTGAGTTTGTACACTTTGGTGAACAACACATTGCAATATTCTCATGTGGCAGCCTCTTTCCAGAACATGCTTAGATGACCTGTGCCTCCTAAGCACCAATTTCATTTAAAATTTGAGGAGCACAGACATGTGGATAATATACTTACTGCTTGATGGCAGTCAGAAGTATAGGCGGGGCTACCAGACTAAGAGAATTCTGGGAAGACGAAAGGCCAAGATATAGTTGCCAGCCAGATGTAGAGGAAGCAAGATACGAATGTCTTACTGGTAAAAATAACCAAGTCATGTGGGTAAATATAGATAAGAATTATGGGTTAATTTATTTTGTAAGGGCTTGTTTGTAATAACTCTGAGCAATGGGCCAAGTCATTTAAAATTAATGTAAGCCTCTGTGTGTTTATTTGGGACTGAATGGCTGCAGGTCTGGGTGGGACAGAAACTTCCATCTACAGATGCGGGGGGGGACTCTTAGCATAGTAAAGGATCCAAAATAAATATATTGGCAGGATTTCTTTTCCAAAATCGGTAGCATCTGGGTGGCCTTGGACTTACAGAGATCTGTCCACCTCTTAATCCTGAGTCCTAGGATTAAGGTGTGTACCACCACCTCCTAGTTTCTGGCTGCTGGGATTAAAGGTGTGTGCATGGCTTCTGTGGCTTGTGGCTGACTTTCCTTTTCTGAATCTTCTGTCGAGCTTTAATAAATCATAAATAATACGTATCTACAGAGATCCATGATACAGTGCTCACTCTATGAAGAGCATCAGTGATACATGTTCATTGCTGCTCTACTTCATATTAGCTCAGGTGCATCAAGTCTAAATGTCCATCAACAGGAGGACTGAGCAGTTGAAACTGTGGTACATTGCACAACTGAACTATTAGTCAGAGTACGAGCATCAAAGATGTACAACTATAGTGTGGCTCTATATATGTTTACCTTCATTCCATTCATGATTCCTGTCCAGACTATCCCCAAAGTGCCCTGTGGTAGAAGGCCCGGTCCCCACTGTTGGTGCTGTTGGCAAGTAGTAGAAACTTCAGAGGGCATAGGGCAGTTGGAAGAAGTAGTTTGCTGGGGCATGCATCTTCCGAGCATACTAACACCCTTTCTTTGATTCTTTATCTCTGAACATTGAAAGAGTGCATACACCTTTTAGAAATAAAATTTTGCTGAGTATCAATACAGATCTTCTTTTTTGACCAATGTGTATATTCATGATCTTGTGTGAATGTATATGTGTGCTAGTGTCCATGAATGTATGTGAGCATGCTTTTGGAGGCCATAGTTTGATGTCAGATGTCTCCTCTATAACCATATTATCTTACTTTTGGGGGATTAAAACAATTGCTTGAAAACTTGAGGACCTGAGTTCAATCCCCAAAACCCATGTAAAGTTGGAAGGTAAGAACTCACTCTACAAAGTTCTTCTCTGACATTCACATGTATGGTGTGGCTCACATCACAGAAACACAGAAATAAGAATAATAGCCCAAGGAATGTACATCCTATTGCAGAGATCTGTAACACAAATAAGTGTCCCAGAGACTGATACTGGGTTTCAAGCTTCAAGCTGAATATCAGAAACTCGGAGTAGCCGGCCCCTAGCTCTCACCTCTAGCTCAGGCTGAAAGGACTGATCCACGCACAAGCTCTTTACCAAGTCTCAAACTGCTGCCGCTCTCCAGTGTGGCTGGACAACAAAGACCTCTCTGAGACTTTGCTTCTGCCTTACATACTTCCCTAATGTTGGGAAGAAAGGCATGAGCTATAATTCTCATTAGAACTGGAACAATGTTGTGTGCATCTGGGTGGCCTTGGACTTGCAGAGATCTGTCCACCTCTTAATCCTGAGTCCTAGGATTAAAGGTGTGTACCACCACCTCCTAGTTTCTGGCTGCTGGGATTAAAGGTGTGTGCCTGGCTTCTGTAGCTTGTGGCTGACTTTCGTTTTCTGAATCTTCTAGTCGAGCTTTAATAAATCATAAATAATACGTATCTACAGAGATCCATGAACATGCTCATCTATGAAGAGCATCAGTGAACATGTTCATTGCTGCTCTATTCACATTAGCTAGGTGATAGCCTAGATGTCCATCAACAGATGAAGTGAGTATTGAAACTGTGGTACATTGCACAATGAACTATTATTCAGATACGAAGAAAAAATGAAATTATGAAGTTTTCATGGAAGTGGTTGGAGCTGGAAATAATACTTCTGAATGAGGGAGCACAGACCCAGAAAGATAAGCACTGAATGCTTGCTCTTGAGAGATGATAGCTTCGAGTCTTGAGATATGTGTACTTTTTAACCTGGAGTAGCAGTAGAAGCCAAGAAAATTGTAAGGGACCATGGAGGGGAAAGACTTCAAACTAGGAGTATAGAACACAAGTGGTATGTAGGGCAAAAGGGAGATAATGAGGCACACAGTGTGGGGAGTGGTGGGAATGGAAGGTGTCTTAGTCACTGTGCTATTGCTGTGAAGAGACACCATGGCCACAGCAACTCTTAGAAGCCATTTAACTGGGTCTTGCTTGCAGTTTCAGAGGTTTAATCCATGGTTATTGTAGTGGGAAGCGCAGCAGCACACAGGCAAACATGGTGCTGGAGAAGTAGCTGAGAGTTCTACATCCATGGCTGCAGGCAGCAGGAAGAGAGAGGTACTGGGTCTGCCTTGGGCTTTTGAAGCCTCAGAGCCCACTCCCTGTGACACACCTCCTCCAACAAGGCCACACCACCTAATTCTTCTCAAGAAGTGCCACTCACTGATGACTGTGAGCCTATGGGGACTATTTTTATTCAGACAACCACAGCAGTGTAGTGTAAAGGAGGTAAGGGCAGGTGAAATATTTACCTAAATTAGTCTATTATCAATAAAAACTCACGAGTCAGATATTGGGGTGGAAACAGGATAGATCGAGAAAGCGGCAGAAGAATAACCAGCTGATCCTCTCTGTCCGTGCTTCCCAGAACGAAAAGACCCTTAACATTTTCTAAGCCCTCCTTATTCCTTCCTGGGCCTCTCTGTTGTATCCTGGATCTTCCCAAAATCTCTATGGCTAATTCCAGTCAGCTAGGCTTTGACTCAGCCCCCTGATTCAAGATTAACTGTTATTAACAGCCCCAGAGTGTCACAGTGTGATCAAATATCCCACAACATTTCCTCACTTTAATCTAAATGGAAAGGAAATGTTTTGACCATAACTCAGGAAAACTATATACAATAAGAACAAACTATCAGGCAAGAATTATATTTACAATGTCCCTTCTAATTTTATTTGACAGATTCAGAGAAATTATTATCTATGTTGTAATTTTAAAAACAGCAGCTCTGGAAAGGAAGATGCCATGTGACAGAGTTCAAGTGGAGGGGTTCTTTATCAATGAAATGTGGGGGGACTGGCCTCTGGGGACAGGAGTAGCAGGAAACAGGCAGAGGGAGATAGAGCGAGTGAGAGGGAGGGAGAGGGAAGGGAGACAGGAGGGGATGGGAGGTGGGCTAGACCTTTTAAAGGGGACCATAATAGATTACTGAATCTACTTTTAAACTAAAAAAGCAACTATTAATCTTAAATATTTCACATCATTATGGATACTTGTATATTGATAAAAATTTAAGGTTACTTTTGCTATACTGTATGTATGCTCCCACTCTTGTTTGGGTTATTGTGCTCATGCAACTCATTTAAAAATGTAATGTATAATTAAAATGCAGATTAATAGTCATCTAAAATATTCATACTTATTGTCATGTTAGATACGTATTCAAGGTCATAAACAAATATATTGAGACATATAGATGGTCTTCAAATACCAACATAATATGGCATTTAATATGTTTAATAACCTAAGGCTTTTCTTACAGTGAGACACATCTGCTCCTGGCAGCACCAACCTACTTCAGAGAACACGATGGGCATCAAAGAAACCCCCTATGGGGTTTGTTTTCTTTATGGCAAAAGCTAGCCATGTGGGCAAAGAAACTGCCCTTGCCTCAGTTGCTGGCAATTTACTATCCAAACTGGACCAGTAGGATGCGAGAAAGGCAACTTCTGGTCTTTGCCAAGACAAGGCAGGACAGTCCTTCAGAATTCCCTGCCTCTCAGGAAAGTCTGTCATATGCTAGAC